TGCGATTTTTAGTACAAGGTTTGAAAAACCGCGTCATAATAGAATCAAAGGACCTTCCGTTTTATGGCGGCCGCTTCCTTAGAATCATCAGGCAATATCCCGTACAAGACATAGTCAATATATGGGAACCGTCAATCCCTTGGTCCGAGCTTAATTGAAGTTTCACAGGTAATCTCTGCTGTTGTTTCATTTGAGTAGTCTTCTAAGGGGAACTTAGGATGATACAAGTCACGACCCATAACGAATATTGTTATTTTAGCCTTTGGCGGCAATGCCAATGAAGTTGCCAGCGAGGCTAAAGCATCTGCAAATGTATTCTGGACTCGTGGGATGTATCCAATAAAGAAGCCTTCAAACTTCTGGGCTAGCTCTAGCATGGCGAAGTGTATGGAACTAAGTCCTCATTACGTACTTTGTATTCTCCTCAGACTTGATTCACGATGAGCTGAGATTCATCATAAGCCTCAAGGTGTCGAATATTGAGCTCCTCAGCCAACTGCATCCCTAATAGCAAAGCGTTGTACTTCGCTACATTGTTGGTGCATGGTTCCATTAGATAGAATCCTCTTGGGATTACATGACCACTTGGGGATACAAGTACCACCCCCGTACCAGCAGTGATTCCTCCATTAGGGTTTGCTCTAGACGCACTGTCGATGAACAATTTCTATACTTGCATGACCTCTTGGGTTACACAAGCTTCAGCAACTTCATCTGGTAAGTCTTTATATAATTTGGATGAATCAGATACTAAATGATCAGCTAAAAAATCCGCTAGAGCTTGGCCTTTAGCAGCCTTTTGAGCTATGAATTGCATGGAGTATTGCGATAGGAGTATCGCCCATTTCACTAGATGACAATTCAGTGAACATGGTTTCATCATGAGCACCCTAAAAGGATTCACCTTGGAGATGACATGAATTGATTGACCGACCAGGTAGTGTCGCATTTTTTGAACGACGAATACTAAGGCAAGACATTCTTTCTCCACTGGGTTGTACCGGTGTTCAGCTCCGATCATGGTTCTGCTGAGGTAGTAGATTGCATGCTCATGTCCTTGGTCATTGTTCTGAGCTAACAAAGCTCCAAGATAATGATCCACGGCTCTCACATATAACAAAAATGATTTTCCTAATATTGGGGCCACAAGGACAGGTGGTTGAGTGAGGTATCGCTTAATCTCCTCAAATGTTTTTTGACATTCTTCATCCCAAATGAATGAGACTCCTTTCTTCATTAATTTGAAGAAAGGTTGGTAGCGACTCGAGAGATTTGATATGAATCTCCAGATGTATGCCAATCGGCATTGCAAGCCTCTGAGCTCTTTGATGTTTCTCGGAGGTGGCATTTCTTGGATAGCACGAACATTTTCTGGATCGAGAGAAATCCCTTTAGATGTGACTATGAATCCATGAAATTTACCGCTAGACATTCCTAGGAACGATTTGGTTGGATTCATCTTCAGTTGATGCGCTCGCATGATATTAAACATCATCTTTAGATCTGCAAGATGATCGCCTTTGTTTTGGCTCTTCACAGTAATATCATCCACGCAACACTTTGTCTTTTTACGTAGATGTTCGTGGAAAATTGTATACATTGCACGCTAATAGGATGTATTAGCGTTCTTCAGTCCGAAGGGAATTACCGTATAACAGTATACCCCCAGTGATGTTCTGAAAGCGGTATGCTTTTCGTCTTCAGGATACATTTTAATCTGGTTATACCCTAAAATCCGTCCATAAAAGACATCCTCACATACCTACAAGTATTGTCGATCATGACATCTGTGATGGGGAGTGGAAATTCGTCTTTTGGACATGCGGCGTTTAGGTCACGAAAGTTGATGCAAATTCGGACCTTGCTATTTTTTTTGGGCATGAGAATGATGTTAGTCACCCAGTCAGGGTTTTGTTCCTCTCTGATAAACCCGAGTCGATAAGCTTTTTGACTTCTGACTCAATCATCTTCATGATCTCTGGACGGTACCGACGTTGTTGTTTCGTAACAAGCTTTGCATCCGGATCAATATTAAGACGATGCATGGCTACTTTAGGATCAAGACCGGACATGTCTTCATAATTCCAAGCGAAGATATCTATATATTCTCTGATGAGAGATATGAGGTCTTCTTTCTTGGATGGAGATAAACTCTCACTTATGAAAATTGGCTTGGAATTGGTTTCATCTCCCATATTAACTTGATCAATTACCTTATCTTCTGTGGGAGGCTCACGCTGTTCGAAGCTCATATCCCATAAAATGTTAAGGCGTTTGATCCAAGGGTCGTTGGTTGACTCAACCAACTTTTCATCATCCTCGTCTGCATCTTCATTTGAATGATCAATCAAAATCATGTTCACAGAGATATTTTTAAAGAATGTTCCGATGCTCACATCGGATTCTCATGATGATGTTCCAGATGAATGGTCTTGCCATAGACAATCATTGACTTCAATCTCTGAAAGGGGAGGGGTTGAAATGTAGCCTAACCCACTTATAGTTTTATGATAATAATCAGGAGGTTTTCCTTCTAGAGTGAAAGATTAGATTGGTGCTCGTCTTCCTTTCCCGAAGTTTAAATATTCCTGTTTATCGAAGTCATAACCCATTCGTCTCATCCGATGGATAGAATTGGGTTCATAATAATAAAATTGTGAGATTCCGAGATCTTAATCTGAACTTTCCCCCTTGGGTAACTCAGAGCTGACTTTACCGAAATAGATTGGCTTTTGGCTTTTTTTTAGACGAGACCATGAAGAAAGCTTTCTGCACATCTTCCATCTCTTCGAATGTAGCGAAGGATGATTTGAGTGGCAAATCGAGTGATACCTCAGCATACAATGTATGTCAGGGTTCTGTACCTACATCTATATCAGTCTCTGTCTTCTCACATTCAGAGGACATATCAGACAAGTAAGCCAAATTGAAATCTTTATTAATGAACCACTCGCCCTCACTCGGTACATTATTATTATTGAGTTCATTCTGGCTCATTACATTCAGATCTAATTCCCACAGACACTCTTCCTTGGGGTCGGGCTCGATGTCAGCTTCGTTGCCACTGTCGGCGGCTTCCTTCGGCTGCTCTGGCTCTTGGGGTCCAGATAGAAGAATGAGCTAGTATGAAAATTTTCCATGCCTCTGAAAGGTTGCTTCTCTGCGATCAGCGTTTTGACTTCTCCCTCATCATCGGTATATTTTATTACCTGATGAAGGGTAGATGGGACGATGCGATTCGCATGAATCCAGGGCCGTCCTAACAATAGATTGTAGGACGTGTCCGCATCTATAACATAAGAAGTCACCTGTGACTTGAGATCACCGATTTGACACCTGAGTTTGATCTTGCCCAAGGGTCGGGTGTTGTTAGCGTTGAAGCCGAAGATCGTAGTCTAGGTAGAGCTCAGCTGGTGTAGGGGAATCCCTAGGACTTGCATGACCCGGTATGGCATGATGCTGAGTGCAGAAAAAATTTAGTCCGCTCTTAAGAGGACGCATAATGCGAGACGTGATAGACGTGGGGACTCATAGGGTACAAGTGTCGATGGTTCCGAGGACACACGGGAGCAAGCTCAAGTCGTGCACATGATAAAGCTGGTAGCTCATAGCAGGCTCAAGCCGGATGTTCACAGCCGGTTCAAGTCGACGAGGATGTCATGCGCTCCCAACTTCACACACAACCGGACGAGGATATCATCCGAGCTCATGCTGAAGGTGAACGAGGAAGGGGGAGAGGAAGAAGAGGGAGAGGGAGAGGGAGAGGAAAGAGAGTTGTAAATATTTGTTAAATTTTGATATATTTCATAGGATGTTTATGTTTGAAATTGAATATTACGTTTGAATGTTACGTATTCGATTGATTATGGATTTTCAGTAAGTGAATTGAATTTGGGGGTGCAATTGATCATGGATTGGTATGTGTTAATCTCTATTTGATAAGATATGTGTTTATTTGTGTTTGGAATTGCATTGTGGATTGATAACTTGTGCATTGATATGTATGTATTAGTAGGAGTGAGATTTTTCAGTTGAGCGAAGGCTGGAGGAGCTCTGAGAAATGGTCGAGGTTGAGAACCCCGACCATTTCTGGCATGGGTTCTGACCTGAGCTAAATGTCTGGGCTAAAGTTTCTACTAAATGGTCGGGGTTGGGAACCCCATCCATTTCGCAATAAGCAATGCCAACCCTGACCATTTTTACATTGACTAAATTAGTCGGGGTTTCGCACCCCAACTAATTTGGCTTCTAAATGGCGGGCAACCTCCTAAATAGTCAGGGTTACCAACACGACTATTTAGGAACGATATTAAAAAAAATTGGCCACTTTCTCACCACAATGCTAACGTGGCGAGAAAGTGGGTTGATTTTTGTAAATAACTTTGAATATGGTCGATTTTAAAGAATAAATTATAGAATGGGTTTAAATAGAAAATTTCTTCAAAAAAAACTCAAACTAATTTTGTTTTGAAATGTTACGCAAAAGAAAAATAACACAATTTATTATGTATAATAATGCACACCATTAATAAGAAAGGGAGAGAGAGTGTGAGATGGAAATACCCTAAAGAGATAGAATTTGAAGCTCTCACTCCCTCTTTAATAGCGTATCGAGCGCTCCCTCTTTAATGGCGTATCGAGCAGACGATGACCACGATTACCTCTTCAAGGTCATCTTGATCCTCCTCTCTCAATTCACAAGGAACGAGTTCAACCTCAAGTCTAAATCCTCGAGTATAAATGCACGGTCAGCGTCGAGTCTAAATCCACTCTCTTTATGATGATGTTGCACGCGGTTTCTTCCCTTCCTTTTTATATTTTTATGATCCAAACATCAAAAAATGAAGTAAACTGCCAGCTTTTTGGGTTTTCCTTGGATGTTAGTTTTCATTTTCGGGCTTTTCAGCATTTTTTTGACAAACCAAACAGCCCCTAAACCACAAGAAAAGCCAGAGTTAAGTGACAATTTTAGCTACTCAATACCAGGCAGGTGTTTGTTCTTGAGCTAACTAAACCAACATATTAAATACTCTCAATTTACACACAAGAAGCAAGAAAGGCATTTAGCAATGTAATATACCACTCGCTAGGATTGACAAAGTACAATATATCACAACATATTCCCATCACCATATGCATGTGCACTCTGAAGCAAGATTTCGTAACCAGACTCAAAAATACATCAGTGCAACTCGGTCATTCATCGATCTCAGTAGATCGAGCTTGAGATCTCGATGACTTCTGATCTGATGAAACTCCTTTCAGAAGATCTGCATAAGTTTTGGCTACAATCAACCAAGAATGTATCAGTAGAGAATAGATTTCAGTACCATAAGGGTATCAAGTACAAGAGGATTTCAGTGTCAGCTTATGCCAACAATGTGACATAAAGGGTAAATATCCTTATTCAAAATGTCACAAAACCCCCCTTTAAGCCTTGGGGTTTACAAAGAACCCCTTCAATTTTCATGCTTTTTCACAAAAAATAATAATAATGGTACCAACCACAATTTTTACATGGGTGTATAAATTACGTAGGATGATATTTTGGCAGTGAAAATTTTGGTTCATACTTTTAGGAGGTTTTCTTGAAAAACATTGAAAGTTAAGGGGGTTTTGTGACATTTTAAGAGGTACGGGGGTTATCTAACATGCCCAAACTTAAAAGGGATTTTGTGAAATTTATCTAGAATAAATGCTTCTAAAGACTAGAGGCTATCCCAACCAAACCCACCCCAAAATCATATTGTGACGGGAAAAAATAATGGATGAAAAATATAGTTTGACTGTTCATGTCTAGAATGAGAAAATTTAGGAATAATCTAGAAACTGACTAGAATGAAGAAATGCGTAGATAATATGAAGCATGTGTGGTATCTCTGCTTATAAATGAATACAGAAGGAAACACACAGGTCAAATTCCACAATAAAAAAGAAATAGCAGTGTATCAGAAAATAGAAAATAAAGTATTAATCAACATAACGTACAAATATGACCAAAATAGACCATAAACATTAAAGAAAAACTATGAAATTTTATACAAAATTTTCACGAAATTCACAAATCTCTAGTACTTCATTAATTAACTGATTACTGGAGAATAACTTAGGAAACAGGTAACCTGCTATATTTGAAAGTATAAAAAAGGCTAAAAACTAATCAACTTTTAGAAGTGCCTCGACCAGGCTCTATTTTGATTTGGTGTATGAACAAATATATGCAAAACATCAGAACTCAGAAGCCATCATTTCTTTCTCCACCAAGAATATGGGAAAAGAAACTTTCATAAAAGTTAGAAAAGGAAACAGGAAAAGGATTTCTCTTCCACTTCCAGAAAAGAGTCGCTATTTATATGCAACTCAATCGTAATTCAATAATTATCTGAACTAGACAAAAATTGAAACTGCAACTATCAAATAATAATAATAATAATAATATCTTGGTTAAGGCACATCTAAAAGCTAGAATCTACCAACCGGTGCTTCCTCATAAAGTCTGAAAAAGTCATAACCTTGTCTGATATGTCCATGATAAATAAGCTATACATATAACATACAAGTATAACCGAAATTAAATTTAAAGATTCTACTTTTTTCTATAAATGCCAGGAATTTCACGAATCTCTAGTAGTTCATTAATGGAATGCTTACTGCAAGAATAACTGAGGAAACTGGTCACCTGCTATGTTTGGAAGAAAGGGAAAAGAAGACTAAAACTCAATCAATATTAAGGAATCTCTAGCTATTTTAGTTGGTCTGAGAAGTGAGAACAATTGTAGAAAACAAGAAGTCTCATTTCTTTCTCTGTCATAAACATTCGAGAAAGAAACATTCTTAAGAGTTAGAAAAGAAGTAAGAAAAAGGATTTCACTTCCCCTTCTCAGAAAAGAAAAAGGAGAAAAAGACTCTTTCGTTAAAAATAGAATTTATAAGTGCAACTAACAGGAAAATTCTTCGTTCATGCACATCTAAAACTATAATCTATCAACCATTGTTTCATTACAAAGTGCAAAAAGTCATACCTTTGTCCGATATGTCCACCACAGGCTCTACTATATGGACAGTTAAGCTGCAGGAGCATGATGCCACTCTATGCCACAGTCTCATGCTGCCATTCTAGCCTCCTCAGCATCAGGAATAACAATATCAAGCCTCATCAAAGGCCGATACGCCTCCGGTATCTCCGCACCAGCCTGCACGCAGACCTCCACCACGGCCGGAGCCTTGCCATAGTACCTCCTCAGGGCTCCACTCAATGGTGGCCCGTCCGGGTCCCGCACATGCCACACGTAGTTTGGCGGGACCACCTCGTCCAGTGTGGCATCCTGCCACCCGTGCTTCCCATCCCTCCACTGGTGCTTGAACGCGCCACACAGCTTAGCATTGTGGCCCCATGGTCCCACGTGCACCTCCGAGCAATACCCGCACGCCTTCACTGTGTACTTCCTCATTAGCTGCCGAACCCCTCGCCTCACCATGTTGTATGCCTCCAAAGTCGTCTCGGCNCAACTGGGTCGAGCTCTGAGAGCAAGGCTTCAACGGCGGCTCGGTCAGATATTTTCGGCTCGTCGACAAACCCACCTCGGTCGATAACCTTTGTAGAAAAGAGAGAAGACAAAGTTATTAGTTCATCTACCCCACAAGGGAAGAAGTTCTCTAGGATCAAGAAGTAGGCCCTAATACCGTGTAGAGATTGAAAAAGATAATACCATTATTCCATCTAACTCTAACCACTCTTAAATAGATATTAGGAAGGTTACATAAGCAGGCATGTATGTTGACCTAAATACCCAAATAGTGAATAACTGATAAAATCTGACAACCTTCTTGCCAAGCATCCGAATCGGAGAAGCGCGGCGGCGAGAAGGGTATTGTGGAAGATCGACGCCAGCCTGGATGCAGAGCTCCATGATGGCAGGGATGCGGTCGTAGTCAAAGCGGGTTTCATGCTTGATGCGGCGGCCAAAGGGGTCGAAGAGGTGGTAGGATTCGATCGGGAGGAGGACATCATGAATGGAGCCTCGAACCCATACGTGGTGGCTTCGGGTTGACATTGCCTGGACCATGGCAGTCTTGGATGCGGTGGCCGATAGGACCAACATGGACTTCTGGGCAGTTGCTGAAAAAGGGGGAGGGAAGAACTTTTCATGATACAAAGATAGAAAATATCAGAATGAGCATGTATTGCATTTAAGTAATTTTAGTGTAAAATAACAGCAACAAAGTGTTATCTCAGTAACACAGGTCTCAGCTGATGTGCACTCACCACATGCATGCACACTCACACACAGAGGGAGAGGGTCACTGAAGGGAATTGTTGTGGTATATGCCTTTCTTTCTTTCTTTTCTTTTTTTTTTGGGTGGGTGGGGGGTGGTGTTGGTGGGGGGTATGTGACAAGGAGGAGGAGTATACAACTTCATAAGCAAAGTATAAACAAAAAGCAAAAAACATGTAAGCATTTGATAGCAAATATTTATTCTGGGGTTGGAGTTTGCTACTTCATATCTCCAGTTAAAAAAAGAGAAGGATAAATGTATTGTAACCATCTATACATCTCCAAAATAAACAAAGAAACAAAGAGCGGGATAGGTATGTAATCCCTCAGTAAAAGGAATTGAAAATGCTTCAGTTGGTACATAAACTGGAAAATCAAGTCCCTCTGGAAAGAATCCTGGAGAAGATATTAAACTACCGGAGACAAATATATCTATGAGAGATTGTCAGAGCGAAGTAATGTAGCCACAAAGAGGGTAGAGGACAGATGAAAGTTCTAAAAATAAGGAAATAAGTCAGGGAATAGGCTAATAGCCAGAACTTAGAGATAGCGTAATAAAATTGTAATTATAAAAAAGAGAAGCTGACAATCATCTATAGATTCTATACCTACAACCATGGACTGGAACAACTGTCAAGAGCTGAGAGAGGCCTTTGATCAGCACTTTCCATGATTCCAGAACCTCATAAGCTACAGGAATGAGTTCTGGAACCAGTAAACCATTCTTTGGAGGCTCCAGAGGCTTCTCTATTCCCTTTTCTGCAAGCTTTTTATCTGTTCTCGCAGCTCTTTGTATCTTCTTTAGTGGTATAGGATAAGGTTTCTTCTTATTCTTTGGCAATATCGGAGGGAGATCTACATTTTGACGACGTTGCTTTCCATATTTCTTAACTGTTGAGGGATCATCAATCTCTTGAGACAAACAAGCATAAGCTTTTGATGTCGTCTTCGTCTTTTCAAAATAGTGAAAAGGTTGTTGCCCAACCTGCAACAAGGAGGAGATAACAAGGAGAAAGCAATAAGACTATATGCCAACATATAAGAATCTACCAAGCTCAACCAAATTTCAAAGAGACGCTAAATAATACTATTAGTAATTAATTCTTGTGAAAGGATGCTCACTGAGATAATAAATTGACAAATTAATGTAAATGCATCTTAGAGGATAAATTTCCTCATTCTCAAGAGTAGTTGTAAGACACAGGTGAGATGGTGTTCTCAATCTGTAGCTACATAGTCAAATACATCCTTCCCAATCTTTTCATCTTCTCATTTACAACCCTCAGCAAAGTGTAAGGTAAGGTTACTTTGAACACCCCAAATATAACCCCTTTCTGTTTTCCATACTGATCAATAAGAATATCTTGCAGATAAACATGGACACAACAGATCCCTTGTTTCTTAAATCCTAGAAACAAAACCAAATCCAAATCCATGCTAAGGCAGTAAGCATAACCAAATCACCAATATATAACTATGATGTAGAGACGGATTTCGCTAACAGTCCTAAGAATCCTAATCCACACTTATGGCATTAAGTCCAAGCTAACAACGCCTATAAACTGAAAACCAAACGGACACACCTTTCTCAGTTATAGAACAAGTTAACACCCAATAACAGATTTGCATGATAATTCAATTAGATCTCCCATTGCGAAGGACCAAACTCTACCAGTGTTCCATTATTATGTATGTTACGATAAGCATACACGCTCACTCTGATTCTTGATTGTGTGGCATCGCCATAGCTCCATTATATTTGCTATTAGAAGCATCCCATTTGCTAACACTCAGGTATCATATCAGATGCTTGAATGAACCAAACTTGTATTCAAATCATATGTAGGTCAATCAACCAAACAGAAAAAATTGAAGGTATGTCGTGTTTTAGTCGCTATTTATGCATATTCAAGGTAAATCAGTCGATTTTGTATTTGATATGAATCTAATAGAGCCCAGTTAAAAAAAAAACCAGATTTCCAATCCAAACACATTCTCAAAATTGCCATGACTGTTTGAAATAACATTATCAGGAGATTTAACTGGGCATGATAATTTGGGAAAGAAAATCAAATTTCAGATACCAAATCCATTCACAGAAATATCTAAAAAATTTGAAACACCATTAACAAAACCTACACACACACACACACATAGTTAAATTTTTAAAAGAATTAAAAGCTTTTGGTTTTCTACTTCATACTTCAAATTATGAAAATAGAACAAGACCCATTAAAGAAAACATTGGAAAAAATCCAATTCCTTCAAAATTTACACCCAATTGTTTAAAATGGGGCAAAAAATCAACAGCATATAGCAAAACCTTGAAGAAGCCATGGGCTTTGGTTCTTCTAGTATCCACAAAACCCAAGCAAACACCTGCAGAGATAAAAATGAAGAGCTAATTGAGATAAAGTCTTGTGATGAAAATACATCTAAAAATGAAAAAATAAATTATTTTTTTTAAAAAAAAGAGACGAAGTAGAGAGGGGGCTCACCCTTTTGAGGAAGAAGAATAGACTCCATTTTTTTGCTTTTAATTTGGGAACTGCGAATAGAGCTGAGGAGGAAAAAAAGATCATGGGAACGGGTAAATGGGTGACGGATCGGGTTCTTGGATGATCCGTTTACTTTGGGTTTACAACACTCGCATACTGACCTAACCATGGACCAGCACACTGTGGGTCATTTTGCGGGCCCACAAGTAGGTGCCCTAGCAATTTCTTGCAGCAAAAACTATTTCAAAGACAACAACATCATCATCGTCATCATTATTTACTAGGAAATCTTGGTTAGGTAGGTTTAACGTTTCAACATTCTTTATCAACAAGGAACAAGATTCGGAGTCCTAATCTCTCTCATCATAAGGAAAAATTCTTAGATGCTCATTGAGAAAAATTCCTCAAGGATCCAAAATATGAGACCAACAGGGGGACATGTGAGGTGCCCCCTCCTATTGCATAATGAGTTGAGTTTGGTCATCACTCAACTCATTATGCAATAGGAGGGGACACCTCACATGTCCCCCTGTTGGTCTCGTATTTTGGGTCTCTGTAGCAAAGCCCGCTCATGGAGCATCATTGTTGCACGTTCTAGCTCAATCAAATTGTGTCGTGTGGCACTCGCTACTCTCATTCAACTGTCTCACTTTAAATGCCATTCAATTTTTGGTAAAATGACAAATCACGTCAAGTAACTCAATGAGCACCCAATAATCTATCCTTAGATCTCTTACTCCGGCCCAAATAAGCAGGCAATAAACAAAGCCAAGCAGAGGTCCTTTTTGTCCCTTGCCTAGTCGCATTCATGACAAGTCCACCCTGTTGTCCTCCATCCACATACAATATCAATTATGCCACCCAAACAAATTTTTTTTTTTTAAATACTCATCCTTACATCCTTTGTATATCATATTAGCCCCTCAAATCGTTGGAGTTATTATCAGACCACCCAATTCTCATTATTTCAAATTAATCCTTTAGTCGTCATCTTTAATTTTTGATTAGATGGACTGAATTCAAAATAACAGTTGCAGGGGGACCTAATGACAGTTTCAACGATTTGGGAGAACAATTTGAAAATATCTTAAAGAGTCGATGGTGCTAATAACAATTTTAAATTCAAGATGTTTCTAAGAAAATCCTAACTTTCTTGAATTGGGCCTTCACTACCCCGAAGTAGCTAAAAGAAATAAAAGTAGAAAAACACAGCAAAGTGCCAAAAAGTCCTTCGCCTTTTCTCCCCTCCTTTCTCTCCCCAGGCATTATTCTTCCAGAAATTGCAAAGCGAGGGATGTTCTCTGGCCTGCTTCCAGCTCAGGGGGAGATCCACGGGCCCAGGGTGGTTCTGACGGCGGATCCAAAGCCCAGGCTCCGATGGACCGCCGACCTACACGAGCGCTTCGTCGATGCCGTTGCTCAGCTCGGAGGCCCAGAAAGTTTGTGCTCCAATCTCTCTCTCTCTCTCTCTCTCTCTCTCTCTCTCTCTCTCCTCTCTCTCTCTCTCTCTCTCTCTCTCTCTCTCTCTCTCTCTCTCTCTCTCTGTTGCTGTTCTTTCGCTTAAAGATGGCATTTTGTGAAATGGGTAGTTGTTCTTCTGTCGGATTCGTTAGTGGTTTGCTTCAAGTTTGATGTTTTGGGGGCAAATGTAAGCTGCTGCTGTGTAGTAGTAGTAGTAGTAGTAGTAGTAGGTTCTTTTGAGAAATGGCTTGGGGTTTCACCCCTTTGGGGTTTCTTGCCTATGTGCCCCTAATCCAAGATATTTGCTAATTTGACCCTGCATTCTTCCACATTTGGGAGCGCACAACATCAGCAATAACAACGAAGACTTCATCCCAAATTTCTGGGGTCGGCTATGTGAATCCTGCAATGACAACGATAGGGAGGATATGCTTGCTAATTGATGTTTATAGTGTTTTTCTTACCCGCCGTGTTCGATTAAGATATAAGCACTGTAGTTATGTTGGTGCGGATAGACCCCCTGTACTATTTGCCGAAATGCACGTAGACGTCAGTGAACTTTTTTGACTCTTTTGAGAGAAAATATTTAGCAACTTGGGGTCTATCCGCACCAATAGAACTACAGGGGTCTGTAAAACTTGTTTTTAGCTCTTTTAAGAGTTCAAAAGTATTCACTCAGGGGTCTGTCGGCACCAATAGAGCCACAGGGATCTATCTGTAATTGGGCGATGCAGGGGCCTATTTGCAGTTACCCTTTATTAAAGGGTGACGTTTGTGAAATGGGTTCTTGGTTTTATCCCTGATTTATTCGTAATTTACGTCAACTTGAGAGTTTGTGCTTGAATATTTCTCTTTTTGTTGTTGTTTTTCTCTTAAAGATGGCATTCTCTGAAATGAGTAGTTGCTATTTTCTAGGGTACATTGGTGGGTTTTTTTTTCTGAAATGAGTAGTTGCTATTTGAATTCTGCTGTGGTATGTACTATGTTTGTTTGTCGATTTACGTTATTTTTTGATATAATTTTGGTGTTATTTAATCAACGGTGGAGGTTTTGAAACAGGCTCTTGTTTTTATTCTTGCTTTGTTGGTAATTTTTGACAATTTGATGTTTTGATCTTTCATTAATTTAAAATCTCGTATCTGTTAGAGATTATTTGTGCTTTCTTCCCTCTTTTCATACCTGTAGTAGCAAAACGAGCAAAATTGACCCGCTCGATGCTGCGACATTAATGTGGAAATTGACAAAAAATTTAGTTTAAACATTGGTTTAAAAATGCACCATGTACCTAACCATAAGGAATTAAAATATAGCAAGTTAAAACAAAATGTCACAAACTATGCAATATATCAAACTGCTGAAATAAAGTGGGTTTGAAAATAAATAATTCAGTTGAGTATGTTGGACCTAAGAGTGAATTTGGAAGTGAGTCGATTTTAAAATGATAGGGTAAAACTTTGGACTTACTGGAAAAAACTCTTTCTGGAAGGGGTTGGGTTTTGGAAGTGAATGGGAGTAAACCTTGATTTATAGGAAAGTCATCTTCAGTTCGTCATGTCGTAAGATTAGCATGGAAAAAGCCAAAACAAATGGTTTAAGCATTTTGTTTAGAAATACATTGTGTACCTAACAACTTAAAACAAAGATATATCAAATTACAATACAATAAGAAAATTACAATGTATACTAAATTGTTGAAATATAAAGCTGGTTTGAGAATAATGAGTATTTTGGATCTAAGTGTCATTTTGGAAGTGGGGTAGGTTTAAATATGAATGCGGGGTAAACTTTATGTTTACAGGAAAAAACCCTTTTTGGAAGTAATAGATTTAAAATAAACGGGGTAAGACTTTGGGTTCATCGGCAAAAAAGCTCTATCTACACTAACTATTAAAAATGTAACCCCCTCTAACCTTATAGTATATGGGGTATAACACATATGAGGTAAAACTTTGGTTTATTGGCGAAATACCCTTAATATTATATTATTAAAGTTGATGAAGCATTTTGGGTCTTGGATTGACTTTCTAAGAGTGGGCTTAAAAATAATTTACGAAAATAATATGGGTTTATAATGAAAACTCCTCTATTTATTACCTTTTCGTATCTTTAGTTAAAGATCTACTGTAGCTTCTCCAGTGACGAGCTACAGTGGATGACCCTTTAATTTTAGTATATAGATTAATGTTGTGTGTAATGTAGAAATTGGTTCTTTTGTCTTTTATGAGGTGTTTTTTTGTTTTTCTGTTTTTTTCAATTTATGTTTCTTTTGGGTGGTTGTGTATTTTAGAGTTATGGGCTATAACTGTTATCAATCATCCCTCATATTGATACGTTTTCAATCTGAAACAGGTCTTTCCTTTTATATGCTTTCATGATTGTGCTTTATTGTCAATTTTAGTTCCGTTGTGTAATTTTCTGTTGGGTTAACTTGGTCTTTCTTCTCCTTTGAGTTGATGTTGGTCGATTTTGATGTATTTTAGTAGATATAATACCTTGCTTTGATAATTTGATGAGTTAAATTCTAAGATTATTTATTTATTTACGTTTATTTCTTGTCTTCACTAATATATACATAATAGAATTAAGGATAACAATCTTAACTATTAACTTCTTGTCCGTTCTATGTTTGCTGGTGATTTTTCAGCTAACAATCAAGGAACCATTCAAAATGCAAACGTGCTTTATTGATTGTAAACCTTTTTATACAATTTTGCTGCAGAAGCAACTCCAAAGACTATCATGCGAACAATGGGTGTGAAAGGGCTTACACTTTTTCACCTTAAGAGTCATCTCCAGGTTAGTATGCACTAGCTTTGATTTATACCCGTTTGTTATATCACCCATGATTTGGTCACAATTTTACTATCTTGGTTAGTCGGTTGCAGACAGTTTGTTAAACTTTCAATGTTAGAGAATGGTTCTTACTGATTACTTTTTATTGTCTTCCAGAAATACAGATTAGGTAAACAATCAGGCAAAGAGATATCAGAGCAATCCAAAGATGGTAAGATCATAAACTCCAATTTTTTTTTACCATATATCAAGTTTTCTCTCTTTTTTATTCATAGTCTATTCTACTTGTGTGGACAAGATGTTATCAGCACAAACAGCTGTAAACTTGATGATATTAGCACAAACTGCTGTATACTTGATGACCAACAGTGTATATGTTAAGTTTGCTCTCAATTATGTTGAGCTAGTTCATAAATTCAGCTCCTGCTCAATTCTGAAGATAGAGTAATGACATAATTAAGGATTTGTTTCCAATCAGTTTCAAATTCGGAAAGGATGCTTCGTCCACAGATCAGTCATGCTTAAGTCATGATTCTTAAACATTTTGTTTTGTTTTGTTTCATGCATTACAACCATATGAGAAAACTTGTAACTATTGCTACTCTTCTTTTCCGTAACTAGAAATAACATTAGGAAGAAGACCTGCTTCCTAAATCTTCTTCTAGACATTCAACCTGAGATGCTTTTTGTGCTTCTCTTATATTATTGATAATGTCTTAGCCTTGTTTTACCCTTCAAAGTGAATTCTCTTTGTGTTTTGGTTCAAAAACTCAGCCTCTTATCTTTTGGAAACCCCAACCAGCAGTGCATTGTCTCCAAGCGTGGGTACTCCTGATGCGAATGAGTAAGATCACACTTAGCAATTTTTCATTGCTAGTGATTACATTTCCCAGCACAATGTCCTAATGTCTGATTCCCCTTGTAGGGGGCAGGAAGTCAAAGAAGCTTTAAGAGCTCAGATGGAAGTTCAGCGAAGACTTCATGAACAAGTGGAGGTACGTCTTTTTTTTCTAATTGGCTTTTATCTTAAATCTTTCCATAATGGAAAACCGAGCTTGTAGGAAAGTAGAGATTATGCAGTTACATATTTTCCCAATGCTAGATTAAAACAAACTTCTCTAACTTTCCTAATATACTAACTAGTAAGTACTCTAATATCTCTTTCCTGTTTGTTGAACCCTACAACTATCAAATTCTTCTCCTTTTTTATATGAAAATAATTCTAACTCCCTATTAGGAACTCACTTCTTGTATTAATCACTTTTTGATTTTGAATGCAAATCACATCTCCACAATATGCTATTCGATATCTATTGAAAATTAATAATGATCTCATATAAATTATTAGTTTCAGTATTGAAAATTAATAATGATCTCATATAAGTTATTAGTTTCAGTATATACATGTAGTTGTATCCCCATGCCCTACATTTCACAGATTTGTCGTGTCTCATACCAGCACTCGTACCTGTACCTGTTTCCATTCAACTTGGATGTTTCCATTCAACTTAGATATTATCGAATGAGATTATTGATATAATTGTTTTAGTATTTTTTTTAATAGAAGAACAAGTGTGCCCCAAACTCCAATTCTTGACTACGTGACTAATAGCAACCAGGGTTTTAAATATCGATTATCACCAAAATTTATATTAGATTGCGATTATCGAAGACAAGTAGTAAAATCGGAGAGTCATGTTAGATGGTGTACATATATAATATAATGTCCTAAAATGTAATGGGCACCATAATATCGTTGAACTCTGAGGGTCGAACACCTTCGAGAGAGCTTTGAGCGTCGTTGAGCTTTGACTTGGAATGCTTTCCAAAAGGGGTCTTCAATTGAGAAGTTTCGAGCGATTGAATTTAAGAATATAATGGTGGAGGCGGAGAGAAACCCGAATGGTGGAGGCGGAGAGAAATTAGGGTTGGGAAATCGAGTGATGGGATAGGTGCGTGAGTTCTTTTGCTTTTATTTAATGGATATCAGGTTGGGTCTGGAAAACAATGGTTTTGTAACCAAAACGAAACCAATAGTTGGAATGTGATTTTTAGCAAAATCAGGTGATTTAAACCACTCCAGAAATCAGGCAATAAAGCAGATTTACACTGATATATCGGACAAAATTGGTAATAAACGATAAACGATCAAATTTCTAGAAATTGTTGCGGTTTTGGTCCAATTCTGATATATCAGCGATAGGTCAATAAAATCGGCCAATTTTTAAAACCCTGATGGCAACTATAGAATACACCATTTTATACTGCCTTCTTCCTCTTTATGCATCATAGTCAGCCTACTGTTGCAAAATAGATTTTAAATTCAACACCGGGAAGAGTTTTTGAACTCTGTTATAATTTGCATTAAATCTGCATATTTTTATGATAATTGGGAGTCCAACTCTTCATTTATTCCATGTTTTTCACTCATTTATCAAGGAAAAAAATCATAAGAGTGCCCTCTACATAAAATCATATAGGGATAGGCAATGAAGATAGCCTTGAATGAACCTTGATGCATACCTCACTATTGACTATAGGTGCAGTATGCACTGAGAATCTGACTGCACTGATGACTGAGTGATTTTCCTTTTCCCCTCAACATATAATTGCATAGTTAGCTGATTACTGAATATTGGCATTTGTTGCTAATCTTTCAGGTCCAAAAGCATGTACAAATCCGAATGGATGCCTATCACAAATACATCGATGCCTTACTAGATAAGGCATGCAAGATTGCACATGAGCAGATAGTTTCCGCTGGCTTAAACAACCCATTCATGTGCGCCTCTTCTGTACCTCTCAGCCCATCTTCGTTGCCTCAGATATCAGTTGAAGCAAAGTCCTCACTCTCCTCCATTACAGAAGGCCAGTTTCTCTACCAGAAGTCCCCGCAACTAAAGAGGAACTTAACGTAGACTGGTATCTCTGTTTCCCAATTTTACCAATAATTTGGTGAAGTTTCATGGAGCTTTGATTTTGAATGAGAAGTGTTGGGGGTGTCTTCTCTTGTGATGAGAAGTCTCACTTGAAATTGGTACTGTGGTGGATTTGTCATTGGTTATGTGCTCACTCTCTTTAACCAAGCAAGATTTTATCTAAATGCTTCCTTTTACCAACTTGTGTTATCTGCCTTCTTGTTGAACTTGTTTATGTGTATATGAGCTCAGATGCACATCTAGTTTGTGATTCTAATATATTTTGCAGGGGATGAAATGACTGATATTGATAGAAATACACCAAGCACTTGAGTTTTTTTGTCATATCTTCTACATGTAACGTCAGATGGATATCTTATTCATGAATACACACTACTTCCAGATGTCCTGATATCATTCTAGTGCTCGTTGATTCGGCCACAAAGGCGAAGCTTGTGCTCGTCTATCATATACTTCGAGTCGAGCTCAGGCTCAGATTTCCATCTGAGCACGGACTTCCAGCAACCATCACGGTAGGGGATATTATGATGTATGGTTCAAAGTTAGGTAGTGCTTATATATAGATGCACGTCTGATTTCATGATGGAACTGCAGTTTATATGCTTGTCATGCATCAGTGCACATGGTTCGTAAGATGGATTCTGTGTTGTCACTATTCAATTTCAACTACAAAATCTCACATAAAATTTTGTATTATGGTGCACTACCGATTTATTGAGTTTGGATAATACTTTAGTTTCAATTACAAAAAAAAAAAAAAAAAAAAATCAACGTGGAAGGTCTATCCGCAACAATGAAACTACAAGGGCAGTAAGTTCAAAGCAAGAATAATACATGGATTCATGTGCAAGTAATCCATTGTTCTATTCATATATATATATATATATATTATATAATATATATATATATATATATATATATAATATATATATTATCAGGGCCGGTTCTGAGATTTTAGGGGCCCTGTGCGAAAAGTAACACAAGATCATTCTCTATATACAAAAAATCAATAAATTCCAATTTGAATCCCTAAAATGCTAGGGAACAAAATGTTACCGATCAGACATTAACATGTTACTTGATTTTTTGCATCTGGATAGTCTTTAACAATATAATTTTACCACTATGACGTATTCAGACCATATTTATGATCATTTTCCCATCAAGCAATTAAAAGTATACAAATTTCAATATCTGGAGATGCAATTCCTTGTATGACACTAATGCCTAATGGCACGAAATCACTTCTCCAAAATCAAGAAATAATGGCTAACAAATCAAGCTTAACAAGGTCAGAAGTCCAATTTCATCAAAATAACTAAACGAACTGAAATTAATTTCCACAAACCATAAAGATAATTCAAATTTAGTTCAATAATAAGCTCACAGCAGTCAAAAATCATTCAATTTTTTACTACACCGAGAAAAAAGCACTTTTAAGAACAAAAGTTGCCAAAGTGCAATGAATGATTTCGCAGGTGGCTTGATTTTAAGACTAACAGGGTAAAACTTTGGGTTTATAAACAAAAAAGATCAATTTTTATTGCAACTGAACGTACCAGATCGCTGATACTCTCGAAATCAGAATCTTGATGGCCATAATCTCATCAAAGGAACGCATCGAGCGGCGATGCAGCATCGCGCTCCCTCCGTCTCCAAATCAACTCGTAAAGCTCGTAATCCTCAGGCCTAATCGGATACTTTTTCCTCTCCATTGAATTCTCCGAAGGAAGAAAGGTGAAAAAATAAATAGAAACTGGATTGGAGATCGTGAATTGCGAGCGGATCTAGGAGGAAAGTAACACCTAGATCTGTAAAACAAGCAATGATTGCTAGATCCAGAACGGAGGAGGAGAGGCGATTGGATAAATTTTTTTAGGGGGCCTCCTCAATTTTAGGGCGCCCCTGCTGCGCGTCGATCACCTCGCACACTCCTCGAGAACCGCTCGAGTATATTATATATATATAGTAGTATATATATATATATATATATATAATATATTAATATATATATAGAGAGAGAGAGAGAGAGAGAGAGAGAGAGATTTTTTCAGCTGGCTTTTTTTCCCATGTAAACTAGTGTTAAAAATAGTGAACAAGAGGCTGCAACGACTAACAACAGAAGCCTTATTGCCGACCTTTGGTACCAAAATAAGCATAAGAGCTTAGTGAAGCAACCAGATTGAAACCAACAAATGAATGTCGAATCAGAAAGGTTCAACCGTCATCCTTAAGTAATTGTCTTTTTATCACAATGCCTCCCTCATACTTCTGCATAAAATTCTGTGGTTAAAGCAAATTCTAAAATATTTATAAATTCAAGCCAAAAGCAATGCACCCTCCAGAAGAGGAATTAAGGACGGCAAACACATGAACTACTACTGACATCAAGAATTTCCAGTCTATATACATGATATATATCCACCAATGTTACAGGATGTCAGAATTTTGAGTCCCAAATTGCCATTATTTCAAAACAAAGATGCATTACCTTCTTTGGGATATCATACTTAGGTTTTTTCCCCCGTACTTCAAGGGCCACACCTGCAAACCTTTGCAAACGTAAAAAAGAAACAGCAGGATTCAAGGAGCTCATTCTTCGTCTTCATCATCTTCATTTTCGTCAATCCCAACCCAACGAGTAAAAGCAAAGAGAAACTCCTTGAAGGTGACCATTCCATTTTTATCCCAGTCCATCTCTTCTGTTAAATCAACAGAGACCGGATATAGGATTTGTTAGCCAAAGAATGTATTTGGTAATTTATATAAACAGTACTGTTCGAAATAATTTTAACAATCCACAGATATATCCTTTTCATAGTTTATTAGAGATTAATACATAAAATCTCCGTGAGATTCAAAGAATTAACCACCCCTTAAGGTTTCAAAAGTGACTTTTGACCCCCTCCGTCTCTATTTCTGAGTAAACTTGGATGTGAAATTGTGATCATATGAGATAAGAATTATATGTACTCTCATACAAACATGTATGTGATTAATATATTGAAATTTGATAACTACATCAAGAAAATGATGAATATTTGACTAAAAACTGAAAATAAAGGAGTGGGGCGGTAGGGGAATGACACTAACTTTAGGGAGTAGAAGCCAATCAACACAATTTTATATGAGAGCACAAGCTACAAAGAGCATTTACCAAATCTTCTCATTGCGATTGGTCCCGAAGAACGTTCACCCGAAGTAGTCTCATTAATCGCTTGTACCATCTCACTCTTGCTAACGTATCCATCGCTGTTCTTATCCAAGAATACAAAAGCATTAACCAAAGTTTCAAAAGTTGCTTGAAGATCTGGAAAGCCCAGTTGATATTTCTATCAACCAGGTCAAGGAAAAGCACACTTGTTGAAAATCACAATCAAATAAATGACGAGCGTGCAAAAGTTAAGTAATTCATCCTCCAAGATGAACTTTATGAAAGGAAAATATTTAAAACTCCCTGAAGTTTGCAAGTGTGTCCAAGCATATGAGATATAAAAGCATGTCTCTCATTTATTTCCCTTGATGATGGCAGCTTCTTTAAAATAAGAAGATTCTCAATTCCCTTTTCCATCATCTTGTCGATATTACTAGTTATATTCAGAGACTTTAACAGTAGACCAGATTACCTTTGTCAATAACATCATTTGTTTTTAATATATACTCCGTCACTAAATGTTCCACATGTATTCGGGATTCCCTTGTATTCACTCTATCATACCTTTTAATATGTAGAAAAATCAGAATCCAAACCAGCATAGACATTAAGGACAAAATGCACAAAGAGTAACCAGAAAGAAAAAGACATGTTCATTGATGTCACTACAAGAATACACGTGAATAATACATAGGAGATAATACATATATAAGGGCAGCTGGTCGGAAAATTTGTTCATAAAAATATCCACAACTTTCATCGCAACAGGCAGATGGACTCAAACTGATATACACCAAGTATCCATCTAACAGGACAGAATCTAATTTCTACACTAGCACTGCACGGCAACAAAGGAATAACAAGAACACGCCTTTCATCTCAAACTTTTAGGGTCAGCCACATGAATCCTTTTCTTCACTTTAGCTCCTTTAAGGGACATCTCCTCCATGAAGTTAACAATTGCAAAGTCCTTTGGTTTTCACTTCCCACGTTTATTTAATTCTACCTCTAGTCATTGTCAAATCATTATGTTAGTCTAAGTGTGTAGACCCAAAGCTGCAATCGAAAAGACGAAGAAAACAGTCAGAAGACTGTGTGGTCGACCGCAGTGGCAGAGCCGGTCGACCGCGTGCACTGCAGGAGACTGAGAAGAAGTTTTCGCTCTGGCCGGTCGACCGGCGTGGTCGCTGCGGTCGACCGATATCGTGCACAAGACCCTGTAGGATTTCGTCGTTCTGACCGGTCGACCGACCTTGGCAAAGCGGTCGACCGCGACGCAGATTCGCTGTTTCCTATTTTATCTAGGAATCCTGTTCTGCTGGGGTTTGTTATAAATACCCAAACGTTTCTAGGGTTTGAAAAGAACATCAAAAAGAGAGCTTTTTGGCTGCTAAGAGAGAGAGAATCTCAGAGAGATTTACCCCTTGTTTGAGAGCTTGTATTTTCTTCTTCAATTAATAGAAAGATTGTGTGGTGTGGCTCCCGAGGACGTAGGCACGTTGCCGAACCTCGTTAAATCTGTGTGTTCATCTCCCTTACTGTTTTTTGCAAGTTAGATCTTTATTTGTGGTTTTATTCCTACTTTCCTACTTTCAACACAAGGTCCGGAAGGGCAAGGGTTCGATTGATTGTTTCGAATCCCCAACAACTGGTATCAGAGCTTCGTTCAGCAATTTGTGTGAAAGCCATGGCAGAGGAAAGCAAATCAAAGATTGAGAAGTTCGACGGATCGGATTTCGCCTACTGGAAGTCGCAGATGGAGGACTATCTGTACCAGAAGGACTTGTATCGCCCGCTTCTGGGCAAGGAAAAGGGAAAGAAGACGACGGAGTCAGATGGTGATTGGGAGGTACTGGATAGGAAGGCTCTAGGGCAAATCCGGTTGTCGCTCGCCAAATCAGTAGCCCACAATATTCTGAAGGAGAAGACGACGGTGGGGCTTATGGAAGCGCTCGCGAAGATGTACGAGCAACCGTCGGCAGCAAACAAGGTGCATCTAGTCAAAACTCTTTTCAACCTCAAGATGGCAGAAGGACGGTCCTTCACGATGCACCTCAGCGATTTCAACACGATTGTTGATCAACTTATCTCCGTGGACATCACGTTCGATGACGAAGTGCAGGCCCTTCTACTACTATCGCAGTTGCCGGATAGTTGGGCAGGTTGTGTGACGGCAATTAGCAACTCGGCGGGGAAAGAGAAGTTGAAGCTGAATGAGGTTGTTAGCATGATTCTATCCGAGGAGGTTAGAAGGAAATCGTCCGAATCAGAAGGTTCAGGTTCAGCCCTAAGTTTCGAGCAGAGAGGCAGAAGCCAGAAGAAAGGGAACCAGAACAGGAATCGGTCGAAATCAGTGAAGAAGAGGCCGAACTCGAAGGTTAGGTCTATCAAAGGGAAGTGTTGGAACTGCGGCCAGGAGGGCCATATGTCTTCGGTCTGTAAAGCACCAAAGAAGGATGCGGGTGAGCAGGAGGCTCATATCGTGCAGGATGCCTTGATCCTTGCTATGGATAGCGATTCTGATTCTTGGGTCATCGACTCAGGAGCTTCTTTCCACGCCACTGCTAATAGGAAACTACTTCAGAACTATGTAGCAGGGGACTTTGGTAAAGTATACTTGGGGGATAATGAACATTGCAATATTATTGGAAAGGACGACGTTCAGATACAGATAAAGGGCTCTAAGTGGAACTTGAAGAACGTGAGACACGTGCCGAAGCTAAAGAGGAATCTTGTTTCGGTGGGACAGCTTGGAGCAGAAGGCTACGTTTCGACATTAACCGGGGATTCGTGGAGAATCTCCAACGGTACGATGATTATTGCCCGAGGCAATAAAACAGGAACTCTCTACCTCACTTCACATGCGAGTGACACACTCGCAATTGCAGCTGGCAAGGAGAGTACAGATCTGTGGCACAATAGGCTGGGGCACATGAGCGAGAAAGGGATGAAAATTCTACATTCACAAGGAAAGCTAACCGGGATCGACACCGTGGAAGTCGGGGTTTGTGAAGACTGCATCTTTGGGAAGCAGAAGAGGGTTAGTTTCCAGAAGGGTGGAAGGCCACCTAAGGCTCAGAAGCTAGAGTTGATTCATACAGATGTATGGGGCCCAGCCAGTGTGTCTTCTTTTGGCGGTTCGAGATACTACGTCACCTTCATCGATGATCACTCGAGGAAGGTGTGGGTTTACTTCATGAAGCACAAGTCAGAGGTGTTCGAGATCTTCAAGAAGTGGAAGGCCATGGTCGAGAACGAGACAGATCTGAAGGTGAAGTGCTTAAGATCAGATAATGGTGGAGAATACGAGCTGGAGGAGTTCAAGAGGTTTTGTGCTACGAATGGGATTCGCTTAGAGAGGACTACTCCAGGGACGTCGCAGCAGAACGGCATTGCAGAGAGGATGAACAGGACCTTGACAGAGCGTGCGCGGAGCATGCGATTACATGCAGGTCTACCTAAGACATTTTGGGCGGATGCGGTGCATACGACAGCTAGGAGGTCATCTAGGGTACCCAAACCAAATCCCAAATACCTCTCGTCACTTGATTATCTACTCTTAACAGATAGCGGAGAGCCGGAGTGTTATGAAGAGGCAGTGCAAGTGAGTGAATCTCAGCAGTGGGAGCATGCGATGCAGGAGGAGATGGATTCTCTACTCACTAATGAGACATGGGAGTTAGCCCAGCTACCTGCACAGAAGAAAGCCTTGCACAATAAATGGGTCTACCGGGTCAAGCAGGAGAGTGATGGAAGCAAGAGATTCAAGGCCAGATTAGTAGTGAAAGGGTTTCAACAGCGGGAAGGAGTGGACTACACGGAGATATTTTCCCCTGTTGTGAAACTCACAACCATCAGAGTGGTGTTGAGTTTGGTAGCTGCAGAAGACCTCTTCCTTGAGCAGTTAGATGTGAAGACTGCCTTTCTTCATGGTGACTTGGATGAAGAAATCTACATGAAGCAGCCTGTTGGCTTCATTGAAGAAGGAAAGGAAGAGATGGTGTGCAAGCTCAAGAAGAGCTTATATGGTTTGAAACAGGCTCCGAGACAGTGGTATAAGAAGTTTGATAACTTCATGCAGAACAATGGCTACAGAAGATGCAATTCGGATCATTGCTGTTATTTCAAAAGGTTCGAGTCCAGCTTCATTATTTTGTTATTATATGTTGATGACATGTTGGTAGCAGGACCGTGTTTAGAAGAGATAAACAGTTTGAAGAGGCAGCTAGCAAAGGAATTTGCAATGAAGGATCTGGGTGCAGCGAAGCAGATTCTAGGGATGCGAATCAGTAGGGATGAAGCTGAAGGGACATTGAGTTTGAGCCAAGCTGAATACATTGAGAAGGTACTTCAGAGGTTCAACATGCAGAATGCTAAAGTTGTTAGCACACCCCTTGGAAGTCAGTTCAAGTTATCTGAGGAGCAATCGCCTAAGACAGATGCAGATAGAGAGCATATGAGCAGGGTGCCATATTCTTCGGCCATTGGGAGTCTCATGTACGCGATGGTTTGCACGAGGCCGGACATCGCCCATGCAGTGGGAGTTGTGAGCAGATTTGCAAGCAATCCAGGAAAGCAGCATTGGGAGGCCGTAAAGTGGATAATGCGGTACTTGAGGGGAACAACGAACAAGCCACTATGTTTCAGGAGGAAGGAGTTGGTGCTGCAGGGATACGTGGATGCGGACTTCGCCGGTGATCATGATACGAGGCGAAGCACCACGGGGTATGTTTATACCTTAGCGTCGACAGCAGTGAGCTGGGTCTCACGTCTGCAGAAGATTGTGACTTTGTCTACAACCGAGGCTGAGTATGTCGCGGTGACTGAAGCAAGCAAGGAGATGATCTGGTTGAACGGGTGCTTGGAAGAGTTGGATCTGAAGCAAGGGAGAGGAGTTCTTTATTGTGATAGCCAGAGCGCTATACATCTTGCCAAGAATCCAGTATATCATGCCAGAACGAAGCACATCGACGTTAAATACCATTTTATACGCTCGCTGATCGAGGACGGAAAGTTGCACTTAATGAAGATTTTGGGGAGTCAAAATCCGGCGGACATGTTGACGAAGGCAGTCACCATTGAGAAACTGGAGTTGTGCGCAACTTCAGTTGGCCTTCACGAGTAGAAGACGAAGGCGGAGCCACACTACGAGGATCGGCGCGATCGTCGGGATGTTGATTGAAGAAAGAATTTTTCGGGGGAAAAGATACATGCGAAGAAGGGGAGAGTTCGGGTGAGCTCATTGATGGCGCTTTGGTCTCCAAGTGGGAGATTGTTAGTCTAAGTGTGTAGACCCAAAGCTGCAATCGAAAAGACGAAGAAAACAGTCAGAAGACTGTGCGGTCGACCGCAGTGGCAGAGCCGGTCGACCGCGTGCACTGCAGGAGACTGAGAAGAAGTTTTCGCTCTGGCCGGTCGACCGGCGTGGTCGCTGCGGTCGACCGATATCGTGCACAAGACCCTGTAGGATTTCGTCGTTCTGACCGGTCGACCGACCTTGGCAAAGCGGTCGACCGCGACGCAGATTCGCTGTTTCCTATTTTATCTAGGAATCCTGTTCTGCTGGGGTTTGTTATAAATACCCAAACGTTTCTAGGGTTTGAAAAGAACATCAAAAAGAGAGCTTTTTGGCTGCTAAGAGAGAGAGAATCTCAGAGAGATTTACCCCTTGTTTGAGAGCTTGTATTTTCTTCTTCAATTAATAGAAAGATTGTGTGGTGTGGCTCCCGAGGACGTAGGCACGTTGCCGAACCTCGTTAAATCTGTGTGTTCGTCTCTTTTACTGTTTTTTACAAGGTTAGATCTTTATTTGTGGTTTATTCCTACTTTCCTACTTTCAACACAAGGTCCGGAAGGGCAAGGGTTCGATTGATTGTTTCGAATCCCCAACACATTACCTATTCATGGATGCAGTGTGTATGCCCGTATAATGCACAGCAAAGGACTTCTACTTTGCACATAATCATTGAAATCTATAGTTGTCATGACTTCGTGCGCGCGCGCGCGTGATGGGCCAAAATAATTGGCCAATGCAAGCACTATCAAGGTGTAACTCAATTTTCAAGTTGGAGTAGTATTGAGTGGAATCCTCGACTAGCCAGGACACTAATGAGAAAAGTGGACGAAAGGGAAATTTTCCAGACCACTATAAATCTACGTGTTTGAGCTTTTCTGCGGAAATATCTAAACTTGTTTCTTTATTTTTCCACATTTAATATTCATGTCTGTGTTGCAAGTTATATACTGAGATTGTGTGGTGGAAATTATTTAACTTGTTTAGAATAGTTGTTTGAGAACAATTATAAGTAAATGAGATAAAGATTAAATTTCCAAAAACTTTTCACGTCACCCTCTTCCCCTCCCCCACCCCACCGGGGGAGGGGTGGGGTGGGTGATTTTCGAATTCAACAGAGGTCAGTTATAGAAAGTATATCCTTTTCAGAAACTTTGTAACAAGATTTAGCATAATTAAAACTAAATTAAATTAAATTCTGAAATTGAATTCTACGAAGAAATTAAATTAAATTAAACAAGTAAAATTGCAGCCTTAATTAGCATTATTAAGGATACTCCTTGAACCACCGTTGAGTCAGCCGGTTCCTTGAGCAGATAAACAAGGCAGAGCAGGACAATGAACTCGTTGAACTTCATTCCCATGTCTTCATTAATATCACATACCTCAAAGAGATCATTGATCTCCTCTTCTGAAAAATCAATTTCGAGTTTCTGGAAACAATGTTTCATTTCTACTCGATCTATAGTACCATTGGAATCTTCATCTGTAAGGATATTAGAAAATTATGTTATCTATAATAAAATTAAAAGCAAAGGAAATTCTGGTGCTTATAAAAGATACACAGCTACTATTATATCTCTTTAGACATAACACAAGTTTGTTTGCCCAATGAGCTGATGTGTTCTTTATAATGCCCGGGGTTTTAGGCTTACTGAGAATGCTGATATTCACAAGGATATTTTCAGTCTACCACACACATAATGCGGGCGCTGTCACTAAGATGACAGTATATATATATATATATATATATATATATATATATATATATATATAGAGAGAGAGAAGAGAGAGAGAGAGAGAGAGAGAGAGGGACACACACACACCATGCTAACTGACATAAATTATATATAATATAGTTATATATATATATATATATATATATATATATATATATATATATAGAGAGAGAGAGAGAGAGAGAGAGAGAGAGAGAGAGGGACACACACACACCATGCTAACTGGACTCCACTAGTAAAAGGTGGGACTATAGGGCTAGCACCATGAAAATTCTAAAAGAACCACTCTCTATAGTCAGCTAGTGAACAAAAAGTTCAGAAACAGAATTTTATGAAATGGAACAAACATCAGCAAGTGGAAAGATGAATTTGATGATTATGAGCTGGCTAATTCTGGAAATGCTCTTCTTAGATAGTGAAATGAGCCCATGCTGCTAATATACCATACCATTATTCACATAAGCAAAGGAAACACCAAAGAGAAATAACTTTCTAGGAAAGAATGTCAAATTCAAGACATAGGAATTTAAGCACAAAAGACCAATGAGAACATTTAGCTGAAAACAAATAGAAGGATTTTACAATTCTGTTTTGAGCAAAAGGTGCAGTAGGTCAACGTATCAAACAGAAAATGTACGCTATATAAGATTACAAGAGAAGGCAATTGTATTGGACAACATCAAGAACCTATTATATGAATAATAAAAAATGTTTGATGTCCGGAGAATTTTAAACTAATCAGCGACAGTGGATAATCCTATGTGACAACTTTATGAATTCTTTACTCGTAAAATAATGAGAATATAAATTGATTATATTTCCCTTCTTTGTTTTCCTAGTTTTCCCATAGATGTGCAACAGAATGGAAAAATCGATGAGATTTGAATAAATGCTGGATGCGATCTACTTACCAAATTCCTCAAAGATGGTTTTGCACTTTCTTAAGCTCTCATCGATTTTTGGAAATTTCATAATGATGCTGTTGAATGATTTCATGGAAGTCCCCTTCAATGACCTTTTTTTCATTGCTTCAACCATCTTTAACTCAAGCTTTGACACTGGCGAGCTTTGCTTATTTGAATCACTTCTTCCAAGTATACCACCCATTTCAGTGAGCTGAGAAAAATGATATGCAGGATATAGGCCACTTATTTACCTACAAAATGGAGATAAATTGGGATTTTCAGTGACGAGATTACTACCTCAACTAGTAAGTTACACAGGATAGAGGAATAATTGCTAAACGGGACATGGGGCCTTGAGTTCACTAGTAATGTGTGCACTATGGCCAATAAGTAAGCATGATGATGAAACTGCGAACATATACAGAAGATTCCCTCCATTTAGCTTATATCTTTCTTATATACATTAAAAACCTCTTGAGTATACTCTTGCTAATTACATGAAGATAAAGACAAGAGGAAGTAGGTGTTTTGATCTGTTACTCTTTTCACATATGAACACCAAGAGAAATGATGACACAAACAAACTACACCCCAAGAACTCTCCACAGCTCGAGTCTCAGACAAATTCCATTAAAAATGATAAAAGATGAAGCAATGGCATATTGTCACTTAATAGGGAATCCATTAACCTGCTAGATGAAAGTCATGTTTCTCAGGTTCCCAAATTCATAATCTGCTTTAAGATCTCAAATTTGATGCTTTCTGGATTGTATTTGCCTAATTTAGTTTCAAAGGAGAAGGAAAATACCACAACATTTAGCTGAGAGCTTCAGCTATCTAAATTCCTAAATTTCATATAGAGAATAAATAATAGATTATAACTTAGATTCGGCAGAAAAAAGATTATAATAGTAACAATCAGAAACTCAAAGATCACTAACAAGAGACATAGAACATTATACAAACATCAAACTTCGCAGATGAATTCATTTCAATGATCATGCAAACCCAAACATGAGAGGGAAATAAAAGCCCAAATCAAATGACAAAAGCCCATAAAAGTTTTTGATAGGTTCAAGGTCATTAAACCAAAAGGCATTAGATATTAGATTGGTCCTTACCCAATTTCTCACATTTACGCCATCAAAATCTCATACGGCTGACCAAGAGGAAAAAAAAAAGCTTATAAAATTGGAAAATAATCAAAGAAACAGAACAACATAACAAAGACCCAGATAAATTACGACAGATCCGAACGCAATTACAGCAAAAAGATTAGAACTTGCCTTTGGTTCAGGATTGCATCAAAGCAGAGCCAACAAAATAAGGAAGGAGAGAGTTTGGCAGGATGAAATTGCTTTTGGTCTGAAGAAGACGGAGTTACTGGTAAAATTGGGGAAAGCTCTTTTCTAATGGGTAAATTTCACATAACCCCCTAACCTTGGGATTATATGAACGAAACCATAGTGAACTTTAAAAATTGGACAAAATAACTAACTCATAAAGTATTCGCAAGCTTTCAAATTCTCTCCTAAAGGATCGATTTATATGTTTTGCTTTTCAAACAATACATGTCGTTTCAGTGTGTCGTTTTATGAATCTAGAGTCAAATATTTAACATATCAATAATGTCGTAATTTTTTTTTGTACTAGTTGAGATGCATGTGTAATGTACGTGGTTGAATATCAAGAGTTAAGATGCACGTGTAATGCACGTGGTTGAATATCATAATTATTTAAATTGATAAAAATAGATTAAAAATAAAAAATAAAACAACGTTTTTTTTGTGAGATTGATCATCAACTCAATAATCTCTCTCTCAAATAAAATATTGTCATTGTTTTCTTCAACCCAGACTGTAGCCACGTGATCTACTATTTGTGAGTTATAAACACATTAATCTAGTACAACATCTCTATTTATTAGTATCTTAAAGTCTTCAATATTGGATTAAATCTAATTATGAGCATATATGTTACATTAGTGTATAATGTTATCCTTAAGGTTAACCCGCATAAAGTGATCAATAAATTTAGATTAATGGATATTTAAATAAATCATGAGCTAAATGTGTGGATACCAAGTTGTAATTATAATTTAATGATGGGCCAAATTATAAAAGAACAACAACTATAAATAAGGGGTTATGGTCCCTAATCTAGGGTTACATTCTCTATTCTCTTAATCCTCATCTACTCAAGATTAGAAGATCAAACCCTAATTCAGATCCGTACAAATTCTTCCTGGATTCAGGTATTGCTTCCGCTCATTGTTATGTTTATTCTCTTTGAATTAATCATGGTTTTATGGATTAGATCTGTATTGCTTCCGCTCATTGTTATGTTTATTCTCTTTGAATTAATCATGGTTTTATGGATTAGATCTCAGTTTTAGATCTAACAAGTGGTATCTCTTTGAATTAATCATGGTTTTATGGATTAGATCTCAGTTTTAGATCTAACAAGTGGTATCAGAGCCACAGTGTTTAATTCTTTGAGATTTATGGTTAAGATTAAGAATTTGAGGTTTTTTGATCTTAATTTGGCTTGATTAAGATCAGATGCACGTTTGGATCTGTGCAAATATGATCTGTAGGATATATTTTTTTTTTGTTTGATTTTCTCTTTCGGCTGTTGAATCTGGATCAAACTCTTGATCCAAATTGTGAGAAAATCATCAATTTCATGAATTAGGGATCAACTCATTGAACAAAATTGTGTGCAATCAAGTTCATAATTGTCAAAAATTGAAATTTGGATTAAGTCATCGTTCACTTAAGTCCTCGCCAGCGATGTTCGCTGGCGACCCCACTATCAAAGGAAGACAATGGCGGTGGCATCAGGAAGCCCTATGGTTTCAAAACTAGGGGTGAGCACGGTTCGGTTCGGGTCGGTTTTTACCAAAATTTGAACAACCAAACCGAACCACCTATAATTCAAAACCAAACCGAACCGTTACAAATCGGTTCGGTGCGGTTCGGTTCGGTTTGTTCGGTTCTAACTTTCATCAAGTATAACAATTAAATGCACAAATATTGCTTGTCCCAAGAGATAATTTGTATATATTTGTTTTCGTATGCGCCCAAATGCAAATCATTTGAGCCACGGCTAAGATACTTAAGCGTCGTGCACACTTGAATCAACAACTAACCCAAGGGACAACATACACAGAAGTGCTGAATTGAGTGATTAAATGGGGAAAATCCAACTCAAAGGGCACTAACATACTCCAACAAGAAGCGCCCATTCCACCTACTTCATGTTCAATTCAAAGACAACAACAGAGGAAATTGAAGAAAAATTAATACTACGTACCTTGAGAGTAAGGGCCGGGGTCTTGGAAGAAGAGAGAGAGCGAGAGAGAGGGATTGAGGCCGAGCGAAATGGGAAATTGGGAATGAGTAGCGGCGGCTGGGATTTGGGAATGAGAGGAAATGAAGTTAGGGTTGAGGGTTTGGGACGGGTCGGGTAAACGCGAACGGATTTGAAAGTTTTGGGAATATATTCGGTCGGTTCGGGTCGGGTCGGTTTGAAAAGTTATCAACCCGATCCGAACCGCCTTACTCTTAAAACTGCTTTTTTCGGGTCGGTTCGGATCGGTTCGGTCGGTTTTTTCGGTTTGAACCGAACCATGCTCAGCCCTATTCAAAACCCTAGGGTGCGGGAGCTTAAGCGGCAGCGGCGACGGTTCAGAACGAAATCCTAAAGGGGTGTTCGTGCAGGAAATCGTGCGAGAAAACTTGTGGAAAATTAGGGCAAAAGGAGGAAGTTACCTCAATTTTAGGCGACCTTTAGGGCTTGAAAGTTTCAGCGAACTTCGGTTCGATCTCAAACGAACCCTGCGTTCGTCTCAAGTTGAACCCCACGTTCATTCTCAAGCAAGCCTCGTGCTTAGTCAAACGAACCCCGCGTTCGTTCTCAAACGAACCATGCGTTCGTTCTCAAATGAACCCTGCGTTCGTTCTCAGGTGAGCCTCGTGCTCAATTCAAACGAACCTCGCATTTGTTCTCTGTGGTTTTATTATTTTTCCGTCAGGTGAAAGAAAGCTTTGCCTGCAGCTTTCTCATTTGAGTTAGGGCACAAGTTTCAAACCCACTTAAGATGTTTACCTGGGTTGAGTTATCACAGGCCCATGTAAGATGTTTTTTTTTCCAGTGCCTTTTTCCTTGTAGGCCTATAAAACACTTGTTTGAGCCTTTAATGAGGTGCTGGAAAAGTCAGTAAGGCTATGAACATGTGATTTCAACCAACTAAAGCCAATTTAATTATTGGGTTGAGAGATAACAGTCTAAGCCCACTTAAAGCCATTCGGTTATGGGCCTAAAATTATTTAAGAATGGTTTAATTGGATATACCAATTAAAACATATTTTGGTGGGCCTTATTAAGTTATGGGCCCAATTTTTTAGTGTGCTTAATTTAATTAATTAAGCTATGAGACCCTTAATTAAGTTTTTTAGAAATTCAGTTAATTTGAATTAAATTATTTAATTTGAATTAAATTTGGTAGTTAATCAATTATTTAATTTAAATAATATGACACTAAGGTATTATAGTTGTCTCTCATTCTAAATGATTAATTGAAACAAGAAGTTGCCAAAGTAGCATCTCTTGTGTAGATTGTTCATGAGGGATGTTAGATGTTTGTGTGTGTGTTTTCGTGTAAATATTAAATCGGCTCAAAGGAAGGTTAATACTTATTTAGACTGCATACACATCTGTGATGATAAACGTGTGATAATTATTAGGTTTACAAGTAAATAATGAATCGATCCAAAGATAGTTTCATTATTTGACATGAGTTATTGTTAATGTTTGATTATTGCAACAAGGTTACAAATTAATATTATTGTCCAAAGACTTGATATTAATATTGTGCCGGATATCTTGAGATGAGATTTGTTATTATTTAAATTTTATTGATTACTAATTAGAGTTAATAATGTGAGTATCTTTTATTTATTTCAGCTAATGCATCTGTTGCAACAATTTCTGCTAGCATCAACTCAATCCCCATGCTCAATGTGACTAATTTTAAGGTTTGGAAAGAGAACATATTAATTATTCTTGGCTGCATGGATCTAGACTTTGCATTAAGAACTGAACAATCCCAACCTCTCAATGCGGATAGCACTTCTGATGCAAAGGAGTATAAGAAATGGGAGCATTCAAATCGCATGAGTCTCATGATCATTAAACGCGTCGTTCCGAAAGCCTTCAGGGGCATAGAATCCGAAGGGATTACTAAGGCTAAAGATTTCCTTGCTGAAATTGAGAAACGTTTTGCGAAAAACGATAAGGTAGAAACAAGCACGCTTTTAGCTCGTTTGATTTCGATGAAGTATAAGAGCAAAGAAAATATCAGGGAGTACATTATGGAAATGTCTCATATTGCTTCAAAACTTAAGGCACTCAAAATCGATCTCTGTGATGAGTTACTAGTGCATCTGGTTTTATTGTCTCTTTCTGCATAATTCAATTAGTTTAAGGTCAGTTATAACTGCCAAAAGGAGAAATGGACTCTGAATGAGCTCATTTTATACTGTGTGCAAGAAGAAGATGGGTTGAAGCAAGATAAGATTAAAAGTGCTCATTTGGCCTATGCCTCTAAAGATAAGGACAAGAAAAGAAAGAATGATAATGATGCTGCTAAGGGTCCTGTTCAGAAGAAACAACAAAAGGATGGTTATGGTTGTTTCTTCTGCAACAAGTCTGGACATGTAAAGAAGGACTGTACTAAATATCACGTCTGGCGTGCTAAGAAGGGTACATTTCTTACTTTGGCCTATTCTGAGGTTAATTTAGCTTCAGTACCTAGAAACACTTGGTGGTTAGACTTTAGTGCCACTACTTACATAAGTGTTTCTATGCAGGGTAGCCGGGGCTACTGAAAGCCAAGTGATGTTAAAAGATACATCTTTGTGGGCGATGGACAATCGGTAGATGTGGAAGCAATTGGGCATTTTAGGTTGCTATTAGGAACTGATTCATATTTGGATTTAAAAGATACTTTTGTAGTACCATCTTTTAGACGGAATTTGATTTTAGTTTCTGTATTGGACAAATCATGTTATTCTTGTTCATTTGGAAACAATCAATTCAGTTTATCTTTTAATTCAATTGTTACGAGAACTGGTTACTTGAGTACTTATGACAGCCTATATTTGCTTGATACAATTGCTTCTTATATTGAATCCTTGCATGTGGAATCACATGGTACTAAGCGTAAATTAAATAAGGAAAATTCGGCGGCATTATGGCATAAACGCTTGGGTCATATCTCAAAAGGTAGAGTTGAGCGTCTTGTGTCTGATGACATTTTGGATTCTCTTGATTTTTTGGATTTTGACGTTTGTGTTGAATGTATCAAAGGAAAACAGACTAAAATTAAGAGATTAGGTGCCAACAGATCTTCGGATGTCTTAGAATTGATACATACAGATATTTGAGAGTCATTCCCTATGGCATCTTGGAATGGTCAATAATATTTTATATCATTCATAGACGCTTACTCACGTTATGGGTACCTATATCTCATTCATGAGAAATCTGAGTCTCTGGAGATGTTCAAAGCTTTTAAAGCTGAAGTTGAGAATCAACTCAATAAAAGGATTAAAACCGTTAGATATGATCGTGGTGGAGAGTACTACGACAGATATGATGGTTCAGGTTAACAACGTTCAGGACCATTTGCTAGATACCTAGAAGAAGAAGAATACGGTATCGTCCTATAATACACCATGCCGGGTTCACCTAGCATGAATGGTGTAGCAGAAAGACGAAACAGGACTCTTAAGGATATGGTAAGAAGTATGATTGCTCATTCTTCTTTACCAAGTAAAACAGTTGCTAAAATACCTTATGAGCTTTGGACTGGTCGAAAGCCTAGTTTAAAGCACTTACATATTTGGGGATGTCCAGCTGAGGCAATGCCTTATAGGCCAAATGAAAAGAAATTGGACTCCAAAAAGTTAACATCTACTTTATTGGGTATTTTGAACGTTCTAGGGGCTATAATTTTTATGATCTCACACTTAGGAATATTTTTGAGATGGGAACAACAACATTCTTTGAGGATGTTGAGTTTAGAGGTAGAAATAATGTTAGAGACATTGCTTTTAAGGAGGAATTGGCTTCAGATCCAATCCATACAGTTACTCTTGACAATATTCAGGTTCATATACCTGTTATTGATCAAGAAGTAAATCCGGAACCTCAAGAAGATAATGTTGAACAACTCCTTGTTCCAGAAGAACAAACTCAACAAACTCAAGAACCAGTGCCATTACGGATATCTACGAGAGAAAAGAGAAATGCCATTCTGGACGATTATATTGTATTTCTCCAAGAACATGAGAAAAATAATGGAATGATGGAAAATGATCCAATCAACTTCCTTCAAGCCATAAAAAGTTCTAACTCTCAAAAGTGGATTAATGCCATGAATGAAGAGTACAAGTCTATGCAAGACAATAAAGTTTGTAAACTTGTCCCATTACCAGAAGGTACAAAACCAATTGGTTGTAAATGGATATTTAAAACCAAGCGTGATATAAATGGTAATGTGGAGAGGTATAAGGCACGTCTTGTAGCTAAAGGCTATACTCAAAAGGAATGCATTGATTATACAGAGACTTTCTCTCCGGTAGCTAAAGGCTATACTCAAAAGGAATGCATTGATTATACAGAGACTTTCTCTCCGGTTTCATCGAAAAACTCATTCAGAAATCATGGCACTTGTTGCTCATTATGATCTTGAATTATATCAGATGGATGTTAAGACTATGTTTCTCAATGGAGACATTGATGAAATAATCTATATGGTGCAACTAGAAAACTTTGTGTCAGGAGATCCAAAGAATATGGTTTGCAAATTAAGAAAATACATCTATGGACTCAAGCAAGCTCCTTATTAATGGTATCATAAGTTTCAACAAATAATTATCTCATTCGGTTTTGAGATGAATGTTGTTGATGACTGTGTATATCACAAGTTCAGTGGGAGTAAGTATAGTTTTCTGATTTTATATGTCGATGACATATTGCTTGCCACTAATGATAAATGCATGTTGCACGAAACCAAGAGATTTCTATCAAAGAATTTTGAAATAAAAGATCTTAGGGACGCCTCTTTTATATTAGGAATTCAGATACATCGAGATCATTCTCGCGGTATACTTGGACTATCACAAAAGAGCTATATCGATAAAGTACTCAAAAGGTTTGGCATGCAAGATTGCAGACCAGATGACACCACTGTTGCTAAAGGAGACAAGTTTATTCTAAATCAGTACCCTAAAGGTAACCTTGAAATTCAGGAAATGCAGAAGATTACTTATGCTTCGGCTGTAGGAAGTCTAATGTATGCTCAGGTGTGTACGTGTCCGGATATTGCGTACATTGTTAGGATGTTAGGCAGATACTTAAGCAACCCTGGTATGAATCATTGGATAGCAGTTAAAAGGGTTATAAGGTATCTTCAGAAAATAAAAGATTATATGCTCACATACAGAAAATCAGAACAGTTGGAGGTCATTGGGTATTCTGATTCTGATTTTGCTAGATACCAAGATAGCAAAAAATCTACATCAGGCTACATTTATATGTTAGCAGGAGGAGCTATATCATGGAAAAGTATTAAACAGACATTCGTAGCTTCCTCCACTATGACAACAGAGTTTGTAGCTTGCTACGAGACATCAAATCATGGAATATGGTTGCAAAATTTTATCACTGGACTGCACATTTTAGAAAATATTAAAAGACCATTAATGTTATTTTGTGATAATAAATCTGTAGTTATGTATTCCAATAAACAGGAGCTCAACTAAGTCAAAACATATTGATATTAGGTTCCTATTTGTGAAAGAAATGGTACAGAGTGGATAAATATCCATAGAACACATTGGGACAAACTCCATGATAGCAGATCCTCTTACTAAAGAATTGCCACCAAAGGTCTTTCATGAGCACACTGCTCATATGGGTGTGGTGTTATTCGAGCACATCATGATTTAGTGGGAGTTTGTAATTTTCTGGTACTTTGTGTTTGGGTGTATTGTCTGATCAGAATAAACTATTCAGTTAAGACACTCTGTTTTATTATGTTTAGTTTTGACCTCACTAAAGTTTAAGTTAGGACTAGCTAAAAATAGACATATACTGATCACATTACATGTAATTTTTATGCTGCACATCCATGATTGATCTATGTCATTTAATTGTATTGGTATATGTGACCATTGATGGGTTTAGTCACGATAAATGTGATGAAGGCCGCTTTGATCCTATATTGATATTGTCAATGGACGAGAATGTTTGGAAATACCCTTATTTGTGATAGCAATTTCTGAGCTCATAAGGTTGTACACATTTTTTATGAAACATATAGTGTCCAAGTTGGATATTGTTGGATTAAATCTAATTATGGGCATATATGTTATATTAGTGTATAATGCTATCCTTAAGGTTAACCCACATAAAGTGATCAATAAATTTGGGTTAATGGATATTTAAATAAATCATGGGCTAAATGTGCAGATACCAGATTGTAATTATAATTTGATGATGAGCCAAATTATAAAAGAACAATAACTACAAATAAGGGGTTATGGTCCCTAATATAGGGTTACATTCTCTATTCTCTTAATCTCCATCTAAAGAGATTCAAAAGGAGAGACCCTCAAGATTAGAATATCAAACTCTAATTCAGATCCGTGCAAATTCTTCATGGATTCAGGTATTGTTTCTGCTCACTGTTGTATTTTATTCTCTTTGAATTAATCATGGTTTTATGGATTAGATCTCAGTTTTAGATCTAACATTCAAAAGATGGGTGATCATTCAATTCGCAAAGGAACTTTGCATATGAATTTACTTGCAATACGTCCATTAAACTTTTAGTTGTGGTTTGACTCATATTCACGTTAACTTTTAGTAGATGTTTCACTCATATTTATATTATATAATATTCTCATTCAATTTTATAGCCCATTCTCTGTATCATAGAAGTAAAACTGAAAGTATGAAGAATTATTTTCTTCTGAAATTAGAAAAAAAGATTATGATATATTTCACCATGTGCTCTAAATATAAATTTTTTTTCCTTTGATGTAAGGTTCCTATCAAATCTTACCCCAAATGACGTGAATAAAAAATACTATTATAACTCACTTGCCTAGGGTATTGTATTATATATAGGATTCATAACTCATCTGGAATATCCATATCTTCTAAGTGGATTTTGTTGTTGTGAGAGCAACATGTTAGAGACTCGTATTCAAACTTTTTGGCTCTATAAAAGACACAAGATTTTGGAGTGTATAACTTATATATTGTAAAGAACATATCGATTCATGAAGAATTTTTCCTAATAATGATATTATTACAACGATGTTACTATTCAATATTAATTCAATTTTATTATATAAGATTATATGATCCTTTTTAATAAATTATAAAGTATATATGGGGAAACCTCGATACTTATAGCCAATAGTTGGGCTCCATAAAATATGTTAATTTTATTTTGTAGTTTGCTATTTGTAGTACTGTTGGCAATACCATTATATTTCCTCTTTATCTTATTATTCACACTTTTTTTATATAAGTTCTCTTTTGCTAATCATTCAATTGGCTATATTTAGTTTTTATAATATCAGAGGTTAGAATATTCTCTTCTATTTAAAAAGTGTTGATATGGTTTTCTTAAAAAAGATATACACATAGAGCAATAGTATATACTTCAGTGCAACTTAAACATTGGCTTGAAGCCATTTAGAGTTGGGCCATTTCTATGATAGAATGGTGATATAGTGATTACACAGTCTAAAAGTCAAAGAAGAAATTTCTACAAAGGAAAAGTAATTTAATATGTCAAATTGAGAACTAATTTATAAAATATACATGAGCAGTGCAGATAGCTATAGAAAGTAAGGTATATATATTCATAAAAATTCCATAGCGAGTGACCAACTACAATCATCCTAATTTAAGCATAAATAATTATTATTTTAGTTACTAATTTGATACACGTAACAATGGAATAAATCTCCAGTAAAAAATAAGAATTAAGATTGTATTATGCAGTAGGTAAATAAATAAATGTTATTAGAGTTCCTCTTTATATTAAATTTAAAAGTAATAATTTAAATTATTAAGTACCAAATGTTAGCTCATGTGAGAAAGTAAAGTAATCTACGGTCTATATACATATATAGTCAATCAATCAAACATATTAAAATTATGATTACCACAGTCAAAATTATTGTCCATCCAAAACTGAGCTTGGAGCCAGTCCACTAACTTCTTGTCAATCTGGATTGCCTTGGCGTGAACATAGTCAGAAATAGGAGGTTTTGTTCCGAAAACTGCATTAGCTATTGTCATCACACCTGGGTTTTGGCTACCAAGTCCTGCTGCAATCGCGATAGCACTTGTGTAACCAGTGTTAAACTGAAAGTGAGCGAGTCCCCGAGGGAACACAAACACATCACCCTTGTTGAAGACTTCAGTGAAGAGTTTGTTATCGGGGTTTGATGTCACAAATCCGACATAGAGCGTTCCTTCTAGCACTGTTAGGATCTCGGTTGCACGTGGATGAGTGTCTGGCGGGTTGAGCCCCGTAGGGTGCAAAATCAAGTCGTGCCAAGGAGACGCCGAGAGTATTGAGGCCTGGTATAAGTTAGCTGCACTGACCAGCGTTACTTTTGATCCCAGACGGTTGATGCTTTTCCATCTAAGTTGGGTTGGTTTTCACTTTAACCACTCTTTTCTTTGGTCATTGAACTTAACCCCACTTGCTTCAGAAATTCACTCATCACGTTCAGAGATGGCGGCTTTTTTCACAAGGGAAAATCCACTTGCCTCATGGCATTGTTTATTTTAATCCCTTTGAGTAATAAAGCCTTACCTCATTTTCTTTTCTTAAACCTGTAGTCGGGTAGCCGTCGGATTGTTATTTTTCAGAACAATAAAAACTTTCCAACGTAACTTTGAAATTGTCATTGTCTCTTAAAGAAGCACCTCCTAAGATATTTTCTTTGTTTGTTAGGTTTTTTGAGGCAGTTAATTATGTCTTTTGAAGCAGTCTTCATTGCTTTCAACATATAGTAGTGGACTCGTTAAGGGCCCGTTTGGATAATGGAAGTATTGGAAATAGGAAATAGGTTGCGAAAGTAACTTCCAAATCTATGAAGTAGGAAATAACGGAAGTAGCATCTTTTTTGTTTGTTTTATATATTTTTAGAAGTAATGGAAGTAGAACTTCTTTCTCTTCATTTACTTTTTTTGTTTGGATAGCATTTGAAAATATTACTAGGAAGTAATTAATACATGTTGATTTCATTTACTTTTTACGCTAGAAATGATTTGTATATCGAAAGATTGCAGTTCAAAACACTTGGATAACTTATTAATTTCAGGACGTCAACGTCAAAACAAAAAAGGATACTTCAGGCATGATAAGTGCCAAGACACTCATGGCGGAAAAAATGTCTAGAACACATACAACCAAGATGCATAACAGTAAACTTGAGCGTTCACAATCCGAGAAAAATAATAAGAAGAAAAGCAAGAATTAGTGTAATGAACTTCCACACCATCATATCAGCAACCTGCTGAAAGATCTTCAGTGACCAATGACTTAGCTTCGTCTATGATACAATTTTACCATGACAATTATCCATATGAAGGTCAAGCTGACTCTGAACTCGACTCCTGTCCTCTACCGGGAAATATTACTCATACGAAGAAAATTCATCTTGATGACGAGCTTTCTAAAAAGTATCGTGTGCTTCAAAAGGCTCTGGGTGATGCAACCAAGGTTTTCCTCAGTCAGAAGCTCTTAGATTCAAATTAAATGAGCTTATCCGCAACAGAGCGTTCCAATCCAAAGAGTTCATGGATGCATTAGAGATCCTAAGTTCAAACAAGGAGTTACTTGTGAACCTTATTCAAGACCAAAATTTGACCCTACTGAGACACATTCAAGATATTCAGCATGCTCTTGGTAGTGAACTTTTAGAAGGGACGAGTAGTTCCGAGAAAATTGAGGATTCTGTAAGTAGTGACTTATTTCCAAAACAAAACCATCATAAATTTTTCAGGAAGAAGGATAAACTCAAGAGAAGTGATATTTCTCAGGATAGAAGCCAAATAGTTCTTTTGGAGCCAAGTCCAGTAAAAGTTGAGAATGATTCAGTAACTCAAATTCTTTAAGTTCTTCACCTCTTTCACATCATTGCTTGAAACAAGAAGAAGGTTTAAGAGCTAAGCCATGTTTTTATATTAAAGGAATCAATAGAGGGTGGGGACGTGTCATGGGTGAGAAGAAAAAGGAGAATCATCCAATTTCCATGGACAAACTACTGGATAAAATTTCATATGGGTTTAAAGATTCAGGCGATACTCTAAGTTGAGGGAAGAGTCAGGCCAGGGGTTTAACGATCGAGCTCACCGAAGAAGGATGGACGCCTTTTGCCGCGACGACGGCGGGGACTAGAATTGCCGCGAGTTGAGGGTACCTTTCACGCGGGGACGTCGGTTGTGAGGTTATGATCAATAGAAGGGCTGGAGTCAGTTGTTTAGAAGGGGAAGAGTCGGTTGTAATCTCATCACTTGTAATTTATGATTTTGAGAATCTTTCTTTTCCTTGTGGACCCCACCCTACATTAACTTCCGCCGTGTTTCAGTGCATTCGAGGACGAAAAAATATCTAGGAAATGAAGATGCCACGCCACATCATCATTTAAGGAAATAGTAGAAATAGATTTTCAAAAGAAACAAACATATATATTTTTGCTAAGAAGTAATTAGGAAGATATTAGAATAGTAAGATTTTCCTTGTAGTTCATTAGCTTTAGATTAGATTCTTTTTAACAAACTCATAAAAGTTAAGATCCTAAAAAATTTATCAATAGATTGTACATCATATATTGTACCTTTTAGCCTTTTCCTATACGGGTTTGTTTGGTTGGTTTCCTAAAATCAAAGAAAAGGAAATAGCAACTAGGAAATCATTAAAATTTGATTTTCATCCATTTTCATCCTTAAAAATCACCCGCATCATCCAATAATATGGTGACAACTCATCTCATCTCATCTCCTTTCTTACTTCTAAGAATGAATCAAACACAAAAAATGAGTCATATTATTCATCTCATCTCATCTCATCTTTAAAAATCACCCACATCATCCAATAATATGGTGACAACTCATCTCATCTCATTAAATTTTAATTTTCATCCATTTTTTCAAAAAAAAAAAATAAGGAAATTGGTTTCCTTAAGTATGAGTCACATCATCCAATAATATAATGACAACTCATTTCATCTATTTTCTTAGTTTTAAGAATGAACCAAACACAAGAAAAGAACCTATTATAGGAAATATGTTTCTTATAATTCATTTTCTTATTTTTTTTTAGCCAACCAAATAACATCAAAACAAGTTATGGAATTTATTTCTTAAAAAATCACGCACATCATCCAATAATATTGTGACAACTCATCTCATCTCATCTCATTTCTTACTTTTAAGAAGTGAACCAAACACAAGAAAAACCCTATTATAGGAAATATGTTTCCTTTTCTTTAATTTCCTTATTTTTTTTAGCCAACCACACATCTAATCCAAAATTTTGATTTTATAAGCAAAGTGAATATGATGCATTCCTCCGAGATTCAAATAGAGTATCATGAGCCCATTCTTAGTTTAGTGAATATTAATGTGAAATGCATGAGAGACTATTAGCTCTCTTTTGATATTATTAATAGTATTTTGGAAAAAAAAAGAGTTTGTTCCCCTCAAGCTAAGCATACATAACATACATGTCTAGTTTGTTACAAATAAAATTCACTTGTATTCTCCCAAGACATTTTGTGAAACTAAATAATAAGGAATAAACAACTCTCCTATCACTCTCCCTCAAGCCGAGCATACATAATGTATATGCCTAGCTTGTTACAAATAAAATTCACACATATTCTCTCAAGATATTTTGTGAGAATGTCTATAAATTAATGTTCTGATGGTATATGCTTGGATCTAATGATTCCTTTCTCCATCTTCTTACGAATCATGTGATAATCAATCTCCATGTGTTTTTGTTGAGCGCTGTGGAAGCCAAACAACCAAACAACCGTGCTACGAAAAATTAAATCAAACGAATGTCGAGAGAAGGCCAAACGAACCAAATCAATACCACAAACACAAATAACCAATTTTAACGTGGTTCGGAAAGTTGCCTACGTCCACGGGGAAAGAAGGGGATAGAGTTTGTTAGACCATAGAGGGGGGGGGGGGGGGTTGGGGGGTGATTAGGGTCTTATGCTAATCTAATCCCAATTAATAGCAATTTAAAATTATGTTGATCAATTTGTTCTTGCAAGAATAAATATGATATGAATATGAGCAATAAAGATGAATAATTTGTACGCCAACCAAAACACAAACACACGATATGTTTACGAGGTTCGGTCCCCACGACCTACGTCCCCGCTCCTCACCTCGAGGAGATATCCACTATCACAATCCGGTTTAGAAGTCGGAACTTCTACACACTCGGTTTACAAGTTCACCGAAAACTCTCACACTACACAATCACTCAACAAACACACTTTACACACTAAGTGTAGGAACCTAGCCCGTGTCCTCCTCCTCAAGTGCTCGATTACAACCTCTCCCTAGGTTCGTCAATCGACACCACTCCTATTGGATTTGACCCCGTCTCTCTCTCCTCACACTTCTCTCGGTGTACAAGTGTGTTACAAGTGAATCTCACAAATAAAGGTTCAATACAATGATTTGTTCTCAATTAACAAGTGAGAACACAATAAAGCTCACACTCACTAAATCCCACACTACAACCCACAATATATAATATGAGAATATCAAGCTCAATAAGTGTGTGTGATAATAGTGAATGAAACTCAATAAATATAACTCAATGAATATAGCTTAATCAAATGAAAGTGAAATAATAAGCTATATAGGAAAGAGTTTAGAAAACTTCTCAAAGAACAAGAAGAGCTGAAGAAATGATGATTCCAATAGGGTTTGAAAGCCTCTTCTTGTTGTAGAAAAACTTCTCTTGAAAACAGATTGATGAAACAACTCTTAAACAGCTCTTAAACGCGATTAATAACTTGTTAAACAACAAACTTGGATTTCTTGAAAAAAAAATTATATAGAAGAAGAGCAGCAATGGAGTATATATAGCACCCCAATACAACAGCTAGAAATAAGTAAAAGAAAAAGTCTATTATGAAACTGCCGTTAGGCTCATTCTGACAACTCGTCGGTCGACCGGTACGGTGACGCGATTAGTTCAAAACCAGAAGAAACGAAGAATTAAGCTGTCGGTCGACCGACGGAAAAAAGCGGTCGACGAATTGGAAATTTTGGTCGTCTGATATAAATTCCGGTCGACGGGAGGGCTCTCTGGAACTTTGCTAAGAAAAGAACAACTGTCGGTCGACCGTACCGGTCGACCGAAATCTGATATACACAAAATTGACAGGTTTTGGGCAGTTTTGAAAATTTGTTAAAAATATCAAATCACATCCAAAAATAGTGAAACTTTGGGGAAAGTTTCTAAATGATGAAATGAACATGTTTGAAAAAGAATTTCTGGAAAATTAATTTTCGTTTGTGAAAACTACCTGTTTTTGAAGAATGCTTAGAAAACCTGTAATTTTTATGAAAGTGAACTTTGATATAGGACTTGTAAATATTCATATATATATTGTGCATATAATATATGTATATAGTGAAGTATGAAGGAGCTGTAAACATGAGATAAAGTATTTTAACAACGTTTAATGAAAAATCATCTATATGATAGAAAACGTCAAAAATCGTGTTAATTGTATATATATTGAGCTTAGATATAATCATACTATATATGTAAGTAAACT